TCCACCCTTACTGAACCAAAAATTTAATTTACAGTCTCGGGAAAATTAAATAATCAGTCACCCAATCAGATTATTCTGTCCCCCAGTAACGAAAGCTAGATTGTCAGAGTCGTAAGCAGAATCGGAACAAGCATTGTGATTGGTTCAGAGTCTTCTACTTCTGACTCCGACAATCTGGTCTTCACCAGATCATTAGCCTGTGTAGCAGGCGACAGTTTTTGGGGGGCGAAGGAAGAAATCTCGATGACGTGCGTGTTCCACTCGTGGGGCTAATAATAAACGGACCCTGCTAGGCCTGTTCCGATTGTGTTCGGCAACTTTTGAGGAACTTTTTGCGGTACTACCAACCTCGAGCAATTTTTTGTCTTTCTGAGCAATTTTTAGAGCATAATATATCGGTTTAGAGCACATATCAAGCACAAACTTCAATTTATGTGGATTTCTTAAATGTCAAGAGAGGATCGTTCTCTCTTGTAAAATGTTTATCAACCTTTTGAACACATAATCTTTCACTTGTCAACGTTTCGCAGGTCTCAAAAGCAATTAAAGTGCAACATGTATTAAGCAGACCCCCAATTAAGCGGACACCCTCTATTAAGCGGACACTAAACCGGGTTCAGAAATTAACGTCTTATATTTCCCTTTGTAACGAACCCCTATTCAGCGGACACCTCTATTAAGCGGACGCGGACACTAAAATAAGTTGTATTTGGTTAATTTCTATTGTTAAAAACCTCTAGTAAGTGGACAACGGACTTAGAGTCCAGGCTTGGCCTAGCCAAGAACGCCTAGAGGCTAAGCTGATTAATTAGTATCTTTAAATTTTCTGCCATATTTGCGAACAACTCTTTTTAAAGAGTGGCTTTAATAAGCTAAGTTTCAAGCTATTTTCATGTTCCTAACCAATGTTAGTGAGTGTGAAGAACGAAAAATAAAGCTTTAAATTGACATTTATATAAAAGTATCCAGAAATTTCGGTAGCAACTTTTGATTTTTAAGAGGGAACTTGTTGGATTTTTGGCAATTTTTTAGCAACTATTTGGTATTTAATTTTGGATAGCAACTTTCCAGCATTTTATGAGCACAGTCGATCGGGACAAGCGCCTGCTAAGCCGGCTACCAGATCGTAAATGACAGAGTCATAAGGAGTGTCAAGAAAATGAAAACGAAAGTAGATGAAAATGGAAAATCGATTCCTGCGACTTTTGAGGCACAATCCTTTGCTGTGGGCGGACTGTGGACATTATTTACCATTCTGGGAAACCTGTGACTTGGCAGGGAGAGCCTGGGTATAGAATATGACGAAAAAAATTACCCTCACACATGCAATACTTTTCACCTTTTAGTACATTTTCTTTTCGAAAATTACAGTGTATCAGTTAATTTTGATTCCTTTGAAGCATTGAACGCGGGAAGGATCAGTCGTAGACGTTACTTAGATGTATGTCTTTTAGAGCGCTCAAAGAAACGGTGGGAAGCAGAGGAAGATCGCCACAGAGGAAGGGAAAGCAGCGAGCCACCATCTTTTAATAGACATTTCCTGTATTTAAGCTTATCATATGTTTTAACGTGGATATCCAGCAGAATATTTGGCGAACCTAAGGAAAGAAGATGGGAAAGCCAAAGAAAGGAAAGAAAAAGGACGTAGACTGGTGAGTTTTTTTGTCAGTAAATTAAACGAGTTTCGAGTCTGATCATTGTCACGTGTTACATGTGGAAGAATTGTCTTACCAAATAAATTTGATTGCCATCATCCAGTTTTCTTAACGCGATGGT